AGATAGATAGATAGATAGATAGATAGATAGATAGATAGATAGATAGATAGATAGATAGATAGATAGAACGAACGAACATGGAAGGGTCTGTGTGCATGTGCAGAGTCCCCAGCCACAGAATAGGAAGTGGATGCAGAGAGGGTACAATTTTATTATATGGAATTTATCACATCATATATCAATTTATCATATATCTTTTAAATTTGAAGGGGGGGAACCAACTTTTTGTAACTGGAAGACTATACTTTCATTTTAAAAATTGGAACACTAAGGGATGGAAATGATGTAGCCAGAAACAAAATCACAGAGCCCAAATTTTGGAGGTGTTAAGTGGCAATCTTTTGCCTTTATTTTACCCAAGTAACAACAACAAGATCTGCAGGGAAGGTGAAATGGGGAACTCAGGTCAGAGTCAGATCAGTGTTCCATGCATGTTATGCTGGGAGAGGAAAATCTGGCCACCCAGAAGTGTTCTGTAGACCCATTATTCAGGTTATTCAATTGCCTGAAGTTCTTTCTCAACCTGGGCGTAGTTTTTCCAGCCTGTTCTAATCAGATGTTTCCATTTGCTGAAAGAAGTATTTTCTCAAGGTTGAACGCAGCCACCTTGATTTCAAACAGCTTTGCTGAGCTAGATACCTTGGTTAGAATAGAAGTAGAACAACTGTGGCAAAAGAAAGCAAAGATAGCCCCAATAGTAATAGGCACCTTGGGTGCAGTCCCAAAACATCTGGAGCACCACCTGAAGACCATCGGCATTGACAAAATCACCATTGGTCCATTGCAAAAGGCAGCTTTACTTGGAACAGCTTATGTCCTCCGACGATACCTTTAACACCACCAAACAACAAGATCTGCCTATCTCAGGTCCTTGGGAAGGACTCAATAGTTGGATAAAAATGTCAAATCCAGTCTAAACATCTGGCTGACTGTGTGATCAACCACCACATCATCATCATCATCATCATCATCATCATCATCATAGAACAAATGGTTGAGGAAGAAAAGCATACATTGGCTGATTATGTAAGACAGCCAAGAACAAGCACTGATGCAAGTTAAAAACTGGAACTTACTGAATGTGCAGGAAACAAAACATGAATATGGAAATAATTAATAAAAACATGAACAGAATGCTGGCAAGGAAAAGCATTGTATGGTCAATTTCTACAAAAGATCGAGGAGAAAGTGGATAAAGATAAAACCTGACAATGGCTTACCACTGGAACATTGAAAAAAAACTGAACACTTGATTTTGGCTGCTCAAGAGCAAGCTGTTCAAACCAATGCAATCAAGGCCAGATTTGAAAAATCATCAAATTATTCAAAGTGCAGATAGATCATATATTCATCAGCTCATGCAAGAAGATCACACAAACTGATTATAAACAACAACATAACACAGTTGCCAAAATGGTTCACTGGAACATTTGTAAAAATTATCATGTGCCAGGAATGAAAAATTGGTGGGAACATACAGTTGAAAAAGTAGTAGAAAATGAGCAGGTTAAAATGTTGTGGGATTTCTGAATACAAAGTGATAAAGTCTTGGTGCAGAATACACCAGATTTAACTGTGGTTGAAAAGAAGAAAGGGTGGATAATTGATGTGGCAAAATCAGGGGATAGTAGAATAAGGGACAAAGAATTGGAGAAGATCATAAAGTATCAAGATCTGAAAATTGGAGTTGAAAGATTATGGCATAAACCGGCTGTGGTGGTCCCAGTGGTTATCGGCACACGGGGTGCCATACCAAAAAGCCTTGGATAACACTTTAAAAATCTACGCATTGACAAACTTCCTACCTGTCAATTATGAAAGGCCGCACTGTCTGAATCTGCACGTATACTACGCCAATACATTACAACATCCTACGTTCTTGGGAAGAACTTGATGCGAATGAAGGCCAACACCAGCTAAAGAACTGGCAGCTGTGATTTCACGTTGATGTGTAAATAATAATAATAACAATAATATCCTGCAATGATACCTTTAACACCATCAAATAACAACATCTGCCTATCCCAGGTCCTTGGAAAGGACTCGATCGGTGGACAAAAATGCCAAATCCAGTCTAAACATCTGGCTGACGGTGCGACCAATCCTAATAATACCGTTTATCCAGAGCGCTTGCTGTTGCATCCGATTTGGAGCAACATTTTCAGTGCTGCAGTCAAATTGCATCTCTTTTGGGTGGAGACATCACATTGTTCAACTTTGTCATAATTTAGCTCAACACCATTATTTAAAAAGATGTATTCTGTCTATTTAATAGAGCTATGCAAAGTCAGAGCCCCAAGGCTTGAACCCAGGACTGCCCTTGGAGGTGGGATGAATGCTTCATGCTCACCCTGCCCCAAGTCAAATTCTCTGCAGGATTCCAACTTTGTTCCCTGGGGGCTTGCTTGTATGAGGCCCCGTGGTAGAGAAGGGAAAGAAAGGTGAATATTGGTTCAGCTGTTGAGGGGTTTATCCTCAAACCACACTGACTCCTGCTGTGTTTACAGAACAGCCTTAAAGACCAGTGGCTGCATTTGCACAACATCCTAAAGTTGATTAGGGTTACCCATAGTAAATTTTTTGGCTTAATGTGTTGTGCAAATCCAGCCTCTTTGGTTAGTTTATGGTTTGGTTTATTATGTGAAACCAGAACACCTGAATCACTGGATTCTAAGGGCTGGAAGGAAGCCCTGATGTTCACTTGTTAGGAACAATGGTTCCACCAGCTCTATATCAAGAGCATCTTCTCTTGTTGCTGTGGTCAAAAATTAACTTGGTTGAGCACATTTATTACACAGAAAGACTGTCAGTAAATCTTGAGGGAAACAGAGCAAGATGCGTTCCCTCAATGGGGAACTAATCTTTACCCTGCCCACTTGTCCCCGTTTCTCTAGAGGTGAGGTGATGCCAAGCTCTGGTTGGCCAACCTGAGACACTGCAAACTGGCAGGGCAGGTAGGATGCACCCCAGTTAGGCTTCCTGGGAAATGTCGTAGAACTTGTCCAAGCAAACAGTTGTGGGGGTTGAGAAACCGCATCCGGTATGAAAAGCTTATGACAAAGGAGGACCTGGGCTCAGATTAAAGGCGGGGGGGGGGCGGGGGGGACAGGAATTGGATTCCTTGTGAGCAGGATATTTATAGGAGATTCCCGAGGGCCCAGATCACATCTTTTAAGCGTCTCTGGCTGAAATATCAACTTTTAGCTACTCTTCTTCAATATTTACAATAAGCTGGACTCAAAGGATATTATATACAGTATTTGTTAAGAATATTTTACAAGATAAGGATATTATTATAGGTTCAGTATAAAGCCATGATAATAGGCAAATATCCTTTTTCACAATATTTCAAATTAAATGGAAGAAAAGGTTAAATTATATCAGCTGGGGAACAATAGATGTGCTTGATGCTCTTCTTTGGGGAAACAATGCTGTGGTTTTCTATTAAAAGAGGAGTTTGACCTAACAAGAAATTTCCTTCATGAGTTTAAAGGGAATAATAGCACCCAAAATACTTTAAAGTTTTTAACCTTCCATTTTGCACGGAGGCAGCTGGGAAGAGAACCGTACTTCTCCTTCGCCCCTGCTCTATGACCTCAGTTTCTATCAGGATGGCTTTTGCAGATGACTTTTCTGAAAATTAAGAAGGCGTCAGGCAAAGTGGGAAATCAAGCAGGTGTGTTGTGAAAACAACTAGCTGGGATTCTGGTCCTGATGCAATCAGCAGTTCTGAGGGACCTTTAGCAGGAAGAGGAACACAATCTCATGCCTAGATAGGCAGGCAGGTTCCAGAGGGTGCAACTACTTCATTCAGTGACTAGTTTTATTCAAGAGATGCAGTGTGAAACTATAACAGTCCTCCAGTACTTGAAGGGCTGTCGCAGGGAAGAGGGTGTGGAGTTATTCTCCACGGCTCTTGGGGGTAGGAGAAGAATCAGTGGGTGGAGGCTGTACAAAGGGAGATCCAGACTTGACATAAGGAGGAATTTCCTGGTTGCGAGAGCGATGATGCCATGGAAGAGCTTGGCTCCTGGAGTCGTGGCTGTGGGGAAGCTTTCAAGCCAAGGTTGGACAGCCATTTCTTGTGGATGGCCTGAGGAGGACTGGACCTCCAAGGTCTCTTCCATGATTCCGTGATTCTATAAAATCTCCATTTGAAGAGAGGGTTAGGGTTAGTGGTTGAAGCAACTAATATTAAACTAATATTAAGTGACTGAAGTAACTAAAAAAGAAAATTCATAATAAACACTATCATTAAAGAAAATATTTTTAGCTTTAGCCCCTCATCAAATTTAGCTTAATTTTCCTGTCATAAGGAAATACTTTTTTTAGCTTTTGCTCTGTCTTTGAAACAGAAAACTTTGCCAAATACAGTATAACAAACCAAACACCTAAGGCTGTTTTGTTCAAAAGCTGTTCCAAAGGTTTAGAAGATGTCTCGTGCTCTGTTTTTTCTAAAGTGGAGATCAATTAACAGTGTAATTCGAGATATTTTTACTGAGTCCAAAATGCCCTAGTTCAAGAGAAGTGACTCCCAGGTGCCAAATAGAGCATTATGTGGTGAAATAAAGCATCAGTTTCCACGACAGTATTGGGAGCTGAAAGACCCCCTTACAGTCTCCCCTCAGCAGGAGGATCAAGTGCCGCCCTTTCCCCAGTCTGCTCAGGAGCGAGACAAGGGACCCAGCGGCCTGGCCCTGCCACTCTTCCCCGCAAGGCCAGCCAAGAGGAGCAGGAACCTGTCCCAGGCAGGGTGGGAATGCTTCGGCCGATGTTGCAACCCTGAGAGCCAGCAGGTCAATGATCCACTAATCCTGGGCAGTTCGGTTTAGCTTCTGCGTCCTCCCAAGGGCCGTTCGTTGCAAGAAGCCAGCGGGTGCTGATTAACTCTGGGGCCCGGGAAGGGAGAAGCATCAGGAAGCCAGGGCCATAGGCACTCCCAGCAGAGTGGCTGCGGGGCCTTGGTCCTCCCTGGCGAGCGAGGAGGAAGGGAGCGATGTAGCTGGCAGGGCCCCTCGGCTCTCGCTTTGAGCAGCAGCTGTGAGCGGGAAACCAGGACATCAGAGCCATCCTCCCGGTGGTCCAAGATGGACTCTTCTGTGCTGCTGCTGGAGATCTCTCCCAGTGACTCTCAATTTATCCACGGAGAGCTGAACTCAGGCAGTTGTGGTGGTGGCGGTGGCGGCAGCTGGGGCTTCAAAGAACCAATGGAAGGGGGACTTTGCCATGGGAGCTGCCCCACACCTGGTGAGCTTGTTCCATTGCCACAGGTGCTGCCCCGCATTATACAAAAAAATCATCCCGCATATCAGACCCCTTGATCTTCCCCAACTACTTCTTCCAGCGTTTTTCTTTCCAGGGAAATTCCACAAGGGAGGAAAAGAAGGAATCATTGTAGATTGCTTTTGGATTGGAAGGAGCCTTGCTTCCGGACGTTGCTCCATCACAACAGGTAATGGTGGAGAGAGCACTTCTCTCTGGCCCATTATCTCACACAAGGGTTCTGACCTTCAGCATATGGGGTGAGAGATCACGGAGGCTCTGAACTGCCGGTTCTGGGGGGAGTGTGTGCTGATATTGGGTTGTGCTGGTTTGTGGCTCGTTCAGGAGGCATGCAATAGACTGCACAGCCTGTTCTTGTCATGACTTGAGGTTCCCCCCAGGCTCTTTCGGTGATGGTGCTTTCTGGTGATACATAAAAGAAGGACCTCTGTGGGTGGCAGAGGGGCTGGAGAAGGAGGATCAGCCTGATTATTTGGCCATTATTTCAAATGTGATCAACATTCCCATTTGTTTACAGGACCCATCTTTGTTACCTTCTGGATAGTCTCCATGACAACATGAGCTTTGCAACTATTATCATGTAGAATACAGCAGTGCTTATGTATCTGGAAAGTAATCAGTTGTGTCTCTGTCCTCTGGGGCTCTCAGAACAATGTCATATTTCTAAACATTGAATAAAACTACAGGAAACCTCTTGATATCTTGAGGCCATCTACCACAAGAAGTTTGAGGCCAGTACACCAATTGAGGCCATCTACCATGAGAAGCGTCACCCAACCCTTGGCCCGACCTCTCCCTTAGTGGTTTGCCATCTGGGACGGATTGCATGTTTCTCTCTGGGGTGAAATGTCCTTGCTTCGGCCTTTACTCATATGGTGGTTCTGCTAATCCTCCTCTCCTTTATTTCTCAAGAAACATGAACACGAGGCACTTGAAGATTGGGGCCCTGACGGCAGCGCTCTTGGTTCTCGCAGGTTGTGTGGGGCTGTTCTTTGGGCTGTACTCGAGGGCACTCCCAGCTCAGCCAGAAGGGCACACCTATGCAAAGGCAGCTGTGGCCACAGATGCAGGCCCCTGTTCTAGCATTGGGAGGTAGGTGTTGCTGGAAGACCTGCCACGTATTCCACGGAAGCCCTGAAATCTGGCCTGGGCGGAAGAAGGGCTGCAGATCCCTTCTTGAAGGTACAAAAACAAGCAAACAAAAGCCAGACAGCCTCCAAATGATGTCTGATGTGAAAGCTCCACCACAGGAATTTGCTTTTACTATCAAACAGAAGAGAGCCAGTTTGGTGTTGTGGTTAAGGGCCGAAAGGCTAGAAACCGGGAGACCCTGAGTTCTAGTCCCGCCTAGACATGAAGCCAGCTGGGTGGCCTTGGGCCAGTCCCTCTCTCTCAGCCCTGGGAAGGAGGCGAGGGCAAACCACTTACCAAGAAACTGCACTTGCCAGGAGTCAACACTGCCTTGAAGGTGCAAAAACAAGCAAACAAAAACCCCTCAAACACAGCAGCACCCACTGCTCTTTCACACAAAAATCCACTCCTAATTACCGCTCTTTATTTCAGCAGCGTAACATAGGAGGTGAGTATGTTTCTGAGTCTGTATCCTTTGATGAATAATTGGGAGTTAAACATCATTTCTGATCTATTACAAACCAGCCACCTACCAGCAGTTCCCGGTTGGCTGGCTGCCCCCCCCCCAAAGAACATTGACTTCTTCAACCAGTTATTTCAAGATCTGGAGCCCTAACAAAAATCAAACATTTGTGACTTGCTTTGGCACCAAGTTTGATGGAGGGATCTGCAGGATTCTGCATCTGGCCAGGGGCAGCCTGGGAAATCCTTGAGCAACATCTCCAAACTTCTACACAATTGTTGGTCTTGACCAGAAAGTTTGACTTTCAAGAGACTAGTGGGAGAACTTTCTAGATTTGGAGAATACCTTCTGCCAGCTGCGGTCTCCTTAGATATCCTTGCTGCCCAGGGCCCAAATCCTCTCCTGGGAAGCTTCACACAATGTTTATCTTCTACCATGCAGGGACATCCTTCAAAAAGGGGGATCTGCTGTGGATGCTGCCATTGCCAGTCTCCTATGTGTGGGCCTGATGAACCCCCACAGCATGGGCATTGGAGGGGGCCTTTTTTTCACCATTTACTCGGCAGATGGTAAGGAGAGCAAGAGCTATGCTAACCCTGTTTGGGGATTCCAGAAGATGGGCATGGAAGACTATGGCTGCCCTTCCCAGGTCTGCTGATCAATGGGCCTTCACCTACTTTTGGCATCCAGATTAAATCCACCATATTGTGAAAACAAGTAGAAGTGATAAGTCCACACATACACACATGGTCATGCTAAGATCTTTTAAAAGGTGTCCTGAAGGAATGGTTGGCTTGTTCAGCATGTCAAAATAGGTTGTGCCCAGCCATCCTAACAATTAGGAATGGAAGGGATTTGTGAGCTTATAGTACAGTATCTGAGCAACTCAACTCACTTAAGCAACCTCAGATACCTTGGAGATTCTTCTTCATTCCTGCTAATGTTCACCAAGATAATGGAAAGCTGGCATGCTGCCGGAAAAGTGCCAGAGTCCATGTTTAACTGTTTCCAAGAATGCTCCTGGAATACACAGTGCTTCCATGAGTTTTTTCCCTTATGGGGAAAAAGGTTGGGTGCTTCAACCCCTGTTCTGCTTAGAATAGTGTCTGCCTTTACACGCACACATACACACACGCACGCGGGCACACACACACGCACACACACACGGTTATCTGGAACATGAAATAGCCTTCTGGGAGCAAGATGGGAGTGGGAGTGGGAGTGAGGAATGGCGCAACCTGGCCCTATTGTTTTCTGATAAATGGGCATTTGGTGACAGATTACCTACCACGGGGGCCATTTGGTGACACTGCCCATAAAATGCTGTCATATTCCAGATATGCCTATTGGACCAACAGTACTTAGCTATCAAAAAGTAATGCTTCTGTTTCAAAGAACAGAGAAAAGAATAGGGGTTAGGGCAATGTCTAGATAACATACAGAGAAATAGGTGGCAATCCATAATTATGATCTGCCACAAACGTAGGGCATCCATAGTGACCTTTGTTTTTGAAATGCAGAAGCATTGCAAAGAAACCATTCAAGCTGATCCCTGACCTTTCTCTGAATTATGTCTTGAAGACATTGCTCTGAAGCCTCTGGGCCTAGATAGATCTGTGCATTAACCTGTCAAAGGGTGGTAGCAGGACCTTATCTTGTTCCTTATCTTCCAAGGGAAAGTGGAAGTCATTAACGCCAGGGAAATGGCACCCAAGAATGCATCACGAGACATGTTTGGCAACAACACAGCTCTGTCCCAGAAAGGTAAAGTAGGAGGCACACACTGTCAGTTTGGCTGGCTGCACATATGAACCACCTCTGCATCATCATGAGCTTGGGGTCCATGGGCCTCAAAAGAGTCTGAAGGTGGCCAGGCTCAGGGATGGTTGGAATAGTTTGTCTGGCAAGAACCACACACTGTGCAAGAAGACGCATGCCTTCGTGGCCTTGTTCATTTATTCACTCACATTGATCTTCCTGCCTGTGATCTAAGCTGGGTGGTCATCAGAGATGCTCTAGGGGATCCTGCACTAAGCAGGAGGGTTAGACGTCTTAAGGTTCCTTCCAGCGCTATGATTCTAGGCCTTGAAAGTACACAATAAGAACTAAAACCATACATTTTGCAGGTAAAACTAAGAGCAATTACTGTTTGTACAAGTAGTAAAGATGTCTAATTGGCTGACAGGGATTACTACCTATAAACCCTACTCAAATGGAGTGTTTCTTGGATACTCACAAGACTTGGTGGAGAATAGGGGCTAACAGGGGGAAGGCATTGCCTAAGCCAATAACTCAGTTCTCAGTGAAGTACAAAGTAGGTGATGGGTGGAAAACAAAACTATGTTGCTGCTCCTGGGTTGGGCTGGAGTTCTGATCGATTTGTCCTCTGCCTGCTGTAGGTGGATTGTCCATTGCAGTTCCAGGAGAAGTCCGTGGCTATGAAATGGCCCACAAACGGCATGGCAAACTGCCTTGGAAGGAACTGTTTCAGCCCAGCATCCAGTTAGCCAGAGAAGGTTTCCCTGTTGGTAAAGGCCTGGCCGCAGCCCTGGAGTCCAGGAGCAGTGAAATTGAAAGCATTCCATCTCTGTGGTAGGCAGTAGAGGAGCACCTCTGCTCAAGACAGCACATGTCCTTGCTGTGTGGGTGGGTGGAGAACAGCCATCTCTTCTCAAAACAGAAGTCCTGAGGGGAGGGAGGTTGCAGGGAGGTGGCTGCATAGCCTAATTCAGGGACCAGCTAGAAAGGAAGGAGGGCTTCTCAGGCGTGGCCATCAATAGCCAAGATATTGTTAAGAGCTCAAGGAATACCTCTTTTTATGCCGGAGTCCTAAAATCTGAATGGGAGGCTCTTTCAAGGACCATTGTGCAATTTGGGAAAAATCTCTCAGGGCACTCTCCATAGAACCATCAACATCACCAGCCCTGCAAGCATTTTATCACCAGGTCAAAACATTTTTGTTTGTCCAGGCAAGTTAAGGTGATCAGGCTGTTCTGGTATATTTTGCTGCTTTTGCTGTTTCATGATTGTATCTTATGCTATTGGTGTATAAATATGGAAGTAAAATTAAAAAGTATCTAAATATGTTGGACATTTCAAGTTCATGGATAGTGCTATGTTCAAGTTATCCCAAACAGCAGAATTTTCCTAAGATTCCTTGAACTGCCGGAAGAGAGGCCGTCTCACCTGTCTTTCTGGTGATTCCTTCTGCTTTATGCAATCCAGCAGGAAATACATTTTAAGCAGACCCACCCTCCATGCACAGGGCAGTGCCTTGTGTTGGCTGGGGAATTCTGGGAGTCGAAGTCCACACGTGCTAGCTGGGGAATTCTGGGAGCTGAAGTCCACCCTTCTTAAAATTGCCGAGGTTGAGAAACACTGGTATAGCTCATGACTTTCCTCCCCAATAACATCTTTGTCCTCAGTGAAGTCTTCTGCAAAAACGGGAAGGTGCTGCAGGAGAAAGAAATCCTCTTTCTGCCCAAACTGGCCAGGACCTATGAGACCATCGCCAGCGAGGGTCCGGATGCCTTTTACACCGGGAGCTTAGCGCAGCAAATTGTGGCAGAGGTGCAAAACGCAGGTGAGGAGCAGTGCTCTAAGCAAAGTATTTACAAAGCAGGGGTCTGACCGTCATTTACCCCTTTAGAATAGTTTCAGCTGCCAAAGCGATACTGGCAGCCAGTTACTGGCCAACCGTTGCGCCATCTGACAATTTTGTTTAAATGAAATGATTGGCCTTCCTGGCAAGAGGGCCCCAAGCCTCTGGGTCCCTTCCTGGCGCTGTTGGCAGATTGCATCCCCTTCGCTGAGCACCCTGCTCATGGTGGGGCCCACCCAGCTCCAAGGCCTGGGTGTGCCAAGGACCCTCCTTTGGGGTGGCATTAAAACAATACAAATCAAACCAGAATTAAAATTAGCCAATGTTAACAGCAAGTAAAGCTTAGAAGATGTGCTTTTATTGTTAACTATGGAGAGAGGGGGCCGAACGCTTCTCCCAGTCTGGGTTCCGTGCGGGACACGAATGAGACAGAGCTCCTGGCGGTGGGAGGGGCTGAGCTGGGGGGTGCATCGTCCATAAATGTCCCAGCTCTCAGGATCACCTTTCTTCTGTTCCAGGTGGGATCCTTACCATGGAGGACCTGAGGGATTACCGACCAACCCTGGAAGAAAACCCTTTAAAAGTAAAACTTGGCCAGTTCAGCATGTATACGCCCAGTGCCCCATTAAGCGGTGCTGTGCTGGCCCTGATTCTCAACATCCTGAAAGGTAAGGACTCCTATCTAATTCCTCCACATATTTAATATTCAGAGGGTATCATGGGGGGATCCGTTTTTAGGGGGAGTTGGAATATTGTCCTAAGTACCAGATGCCAGTTCAGCTTCAACAGACTAATGGCGGGGGGGGGGGGGGGGGGGG